CATGGACCAGCACCCCCAACCACTGCTTTTTCCTCTGTACAAAATCCTACCGTCCAAAAAGCAGCGGTTGGGGAGCGCTGGGAATTGTCTTAACTTGGCAGTCATTTTAGTTGTAACCAGTCAGTTGGAATCTGATAGCCAGTCCACTCATGAAAAAGACGAAAATCAACCACACGTGCGCTAGCATCCACATTTTAGTCAAGCTTAAAGATGTAAGATGGTACCAAACGTTGACCCAAATATCGTCGAGATGATTCCCGATTGGTTGTCTATAACCTCTTTTAAGAGGTCGGTGACCATGCCTACAAACCTCAAGTAAAGGAACCAGTCTTGTGATATGACCACTGCGCATACAGAAGACGCGACTCCCCACTTTGTTTTTAGCAAATTCGGTCCGTGATCCATTTGTTTTCACCCAAGGTGCACATGGCTAGATCTCAAACAGCCGCCCTCTGGAGCGATCGGTGAAGGCAAATGCCCAGGCAAATGTTTGTGCCACTACACTCCCGCAGACTAACGGCTGGAAGCTCCCAGAAGGCCTCTGCACATGGAGCCAAGCCTTCTAAAGAGGTCCTGGGAGCTTCCATGTTAGTCGGAGGGCCCCCCAATCACAATAGCGACTAGTAGGGTCTACTAGTAGGGTTTGTAGCGACCATTTCCAGGGGGTCCCCTCTTTGAAGGGCCCCTGACAACCATAGGAGGGGAGGGTATGCAGGAACTTCGGGGCTCTGCCCGGCGAGCAAACATTGCGCTAACTTGGATGAACCCTGAAACTGGGGGTGGGGGGGTGGGGGGAAATTCACACCCACCTTCGCCACCTTCTTGTTTGGATTGCAATAACCCATGTTTAAGTTGAATTTTAAGTTTGAATTTTAAGTTAACAAATCAGGGGCGACTTGGATCCACAACTATGGGCTGTGCGTCGCTTTTCCGTGTTGCTCTTCGACACATGCGTCCCAACAAGTTTCAGAGTCAAATCCACTGAAGTTCCGCTTCTTGGTGGTTGGTGATGCTGAATCAAGTCTTGAAAGCTAAGAGGGCTACCCCTCAACTCAAAGATCAAAGATCAAAGCTTGGTTGCTGTTGACCCCTCTGCGAAAAGTGTCACTTCTTGTGGGTTCTATGCAAAACCCTTGGCGTCCCCAAGACTTAAAGTCTACAGGTCAACCCAGTCCAGTAGCAATCAAGAAGGGGGCTCACCAAACTCCGGCCATGCCAAAATGAGCGTCCCTGAGAGTTCTGAGCTTTAGGCTCACGACACGCCCTGTCTCTGTCAGCAGATCGGAGTCTTCCTCTTGCTCCTGTGGCGCAAAAGAAAGTCAAGTGGTTGGTACTTCTGGACAGCGGCTTGGATGCGACGAATCTGTGGATCCACCCCTGTAGAATATTAAAAGGGTGCTAAAACAGTGCTCAAACAGGACCTACAGGGAGAAGAACTGGTGAAATCCACAAAAAGCCAATCCAAACCGCTTTCTAAAGTACTTGGATGTTCTATTTGCCAAGTTTGTAAGTGGCCAACGCCACCTGGGTTATAACCCACTGACAGGGTTGACTCCACTTAGGGGAACCTAAAAATGGGGTCTTACCCAGCCTACCAACGAAATACTAAGTTAGCCGAACACCCAAGCAATGAATATTCTCAAGATGGAAACTCAGTTGCCCAAACAAAAATCAAGGAAACCTTAACAGGTTGAAAGGTCCAAGCGAGGGAAACATCAAAGACTCACTGCCAATGCTCTATACTCGTAGTTTTGCTCATTGCCTTGAGGTGCGGACCAACTTGGCGCGGGAACGTCCCGTAGCGGACGGGAAAGCACTTTGATTGGGGAAAGCAGAGACGAATGTAGAGGGTGCCAACGAATTGGGGAACGTAAGCGACCCGGCTCCTTAAAGAAGCCAAAGCAAGCAAACTGGTCATGGTCCCTTGGAGCCTCCTTGTACAGAACCTCCCGCAACCAGCTTTACGGTGGCTGTCCAAGATATTGCCTAGGGGAACACGGAAGCCGCTCAATGGCTTTGGAGGTATAATAAGTGTGGGTGGCTTGCATGCAATCTGAGTAATTTTCTTGGGACAGTTCTAAAAAAGAAACAAAGGACACCAGCCATTTTAGAGGGTTCACCATCTTGAGACAAGCCCATATTCGACCAGAGCTTTCTCCCCTATTTCGGTGTCTGTCTAGGGAACCCCTTTTGGTTGGATTGGGGGCCGGGGGCGTCCGGCGTCCCTGACAAAGACACAGCCATTCAACCTATGGTCGTCAAGGGCCACCCCAACAGGCACTACTAGCGACTCAAGGGTCTACGACCACTTCCAGAGGGTCCAATTCCTCTTTGGGTGGCCTCTGACAACCAGATTCACAATCAAAACCCAGGGGTTTTGGAGGCTAAGGGGCAATCCCGGCCGGAAATAGTTGCGGCCGCCTTCTCATTTCTTTACGTGGTTGGATTACGACCATCTTAATCCCGGGTTTTGATGACTCAGATTCGGACATGAGCTGGTATGCCGGCAAGGTGCCGGCAGCATGATGACCGTGGACTTCTCCTGGTCTCCTCTCGCCCACCTCGAGCGAGCTAACGGCCGGAAGCGACATTTGAAATGTATGGGTCAAAATGAAACCGCCAGAACACCGGCTTTTGTCCTTGGTTCCATCTACCAGGGTTAATTCGCCATTAAGGGGACCTAATTTTCGATTTGCACCCACGTCTTCGCTGTCCGTTCTCAGATCCCGTCTAAAAGTGACTATTTGATTAAATGCAGAAACCCAACCACTAGACCAACTGAAAAGCTAAGCGTCAGCACCCCGAACCACGGGTTTTTGGGCAATACTTGGAATTTTCGACATGGGGCAAGCATGCTGCTAGGATTTCGTGTTGAAACTTCTCCCATCCTGTGTGTGGCAGAAACCCCGGGGATTGAAGCGAAAACCGGACTGAGCAGTTTGAAGAGGCGCCTGGACGTGCGAACTGTTGGGAACCGCGGATTTAAGTCGAACCCCTGGTTGATCTTGATTGCCGATCATTGAAGGCGGAGAATAGCAGCCGCTCGTAGACTGTCACGAGACCTGCCATAATTTGGCCCTCGTCCCCATCGCTTATAAGCTGCCTTGGCGGTAGGGCACAAAGGCTCGATTTTGCACCTCTTTGTGAATGTAACGCGGACAGTCCCCAGCAACTGCTGCACGGTCAACGTTCAGTGGACCACTTCGGGCACTTCCAGTCCTTGTAGTGCAACATCTGCTCAATTTCCTGCCTCACTCGGTCGACTCCAAAGATGTGATGGCACTCCGTTCCTGAATACCCCATGGCCACGCTCACAACCATTCCAATCTTCTTCTTGTCTTCTTCGGTCAATGTGCAGGGCGTTTGCTTCATGTCAATTCTGTGGTGGATCCCTCGGGCTACGTTACCAATCAGGTCAGCATAAGTAGTGGTGTCTTTTGGAAGGGGTCCTATTTGGCCACCGGCTGGCTTGCACATCGCCAGGAGGGCGAGGTCTATTAGCCAACTCAACAATTCCCAGAAAAAGAAATCCGGGGTGAGGGGTTGTGTTCCCTTTTAGTTGGGAATCAGACCATGAGGGGAACACCTGCCCCTTCCCCCCCTCAAATTAAAGAGAAGAACTTGTTACATGATCCGAGGCAACAGGACAACATTACAGCAGTTTCTAAGGTCAAGCTTGGTCTTAACGGTTGGCGGAATTCCGGGGATCACCCATGTTAGGGCGCCGTGCCATATCCCCAATTGAAAAGGATCCCCTACACCGCAACCCGTCATGGTGACAAAGCCGGTGTTCTGCACCCAAACGAACCACGTCTTTACCCTCCAACACCCATTGCAGTGCAGATTGGCCCGTATTGGAAGCCTATGCACCTAGGCCATGTTGGTGGCTAAGGAGGTCCAACCCTTTAACTCAGTTGCCCAATGGACCTGGAAATAAAAGGTGATTACCGTTTGGGGCCAAAGCTAAAGATGGACTGGTAGATCCGGTCGATTCGCTGTGGTTAGTGGGGCAAAAAAGGGAAGTGAGGCTGATGGGCCCTCGCTCCGCTTGGTGTATTCTTAGCATTTGCGGATACGTCCCCTGGACAAGAATAAGAAACTATGTCCAGCGGTGATATCGATTCCCTTTAAATTCAACAGGGAAAAATAGCAAGTACCCTTCCTCCAACTAACATGGCACCTGTGGGGAGGTACCTGGAAGATTCTTTTCCTTTTCAAGGGAGCCCCTGTCAGTTGCCATGTTAGTTGGAGGGAGGGTACTAATTTCAAAAAATAAAAAATATTCACCGGGGTATCGCCCATCCATCTATCCGGTGCGAAGCGGATTGTGGGTAGTAGCCAGCAAACCCTCGGACCTGGACCTCCATGTGCATCCCAAAGTTGTTTTGACAACTGAACCAGAGTTCACTGTGTCACTGGTCTCTCACCCGATTGAATCATCTAACTGAATCCGAGTTCTGTGCTCCGGGAGCGTTTGGAGTGGGGGTTCTCTCTTTCAACTCATCCACAGAAGCGCAGGCCTCTCGGCCTGTCCTTATGGAAAATACAGCGCGCTTGTAAATGTTCAGAAAACCATCTATATTCGACCAAACGTTCCAGTGCATGTCAGTGCTTTCGAAACCACGCTTGGCACTTGAGCAGCGTGAGTTTCACCCATTGACCTTTGGGTTCTAAAGCGGCAAAGGCTTTTCATTCGGCCTACCTTTATGAAACTAGGAAACAAACCACCCACTAGGGCCTTGTGGGAATCGGTTTTTGGGTGCTCTATTTCGGATTGAGTTCGCAGGTGATCTTTTGAGGATGGAATCCAGTAGTTTCTGGTTAAACCTCTACCCGCATTTTTCAGGAAATTCATTGTTCTTCCGAGGACAGGCGAAGGGTCCTTCGGGATTTTCAACATCCATAGCCATACAAAACAAATGCGAGGCACTGTCAACATGACCTGCTGCAAAGGGGAAATGTAGGATTTGGCCGCCTGTGTTCTACGGGAAATGTGAAGCTCATTCCCCTTTCTCGTCCTGCCCGAAAGGACCAAACATGTCGTGTGTCGGAATAGGGGGTGGGTGAGGGGGCCGAAGAAAGTGCGGTAGTTCGTCGGATTGGCCCGTACAAAGCTGTACTGTCCTCAGATCCCCTGCTAAAATTTTACATTTTAGTGGGTCACATACAAAAACCCAGCCATGCAACCAACGAAAAACCACTAAACATCTTTCTGGAACCGCATGGCCTCCAGTAGTCATAGATTCCCTTCAAAATTCACAGGGAAAACATGTCCAGTAGTGACAAGCTCCCTGGAAAATGTTTCCAGTAGTGATGCATTCTCTCCATCCCTCCATCCACCGAGTCTTCCGACTCGTCTGGCCGTTGGCCCTGCAGGACATAGTCCTGGCAGCTTGGAGGCCCCCGAAAAAGGATTTCGGACGTCCGTTTGGTTTCCCAAGATCAGCTCAAGCAGGGCTCCCCCAAACTTGGCTGGAATTAGGACCCCAGCAAAAAAACTATGGTTAGTAGAAAGCAAAGGGGACCCAAAAAAAAACAAACAATGAAAAGGGGGAGCTAATTCTAGGAAAGAAAAAAGGACGCACTTTGAAGTCCGACCAACGTCAGGGCAAGCAGGTTATAACCGATACGTCTCAAAACAAGGGTCATGGTCAGTTTCCTTAAAGCTACCCAACGCGGGCCCCCAAAACGAAAACCTTTCACCACTTCCGCTCATTTGGAGGTCTGCTTTTTGGGTTGCTGCGTTTTGTGGGGGACCCTTTTTTGTGTAAAAAAAGGAAGCCAAAGGTTGAAACCACCCATTTTGTGGGTTCCCTTTGGAGTCAAACTCCCTGAGTGGAGTTGCCGAACTTGCCTTGACCGGAGGATTGAACATTGGCGACACAACGGTTACCAACGGACACTTTCACAAGTTACGTGTGGTTTGGACATGTTTGAAGGCCACATGAGTGTGTCTTGGAATATCGGACAAATGGAACGTGTCCTTCTGGCTTCCCTAAAAAAAACACTGCAACAGGAGGAACCTCAAAGGACAGACACACATGAGACACCCTGTTCTTATGACCTGGGAGTTCTGAGCACCGTCGTAATGTCTCAATGGAGATATGCATTTGAAGGTCTTGAGGGCCAGTTGTTCAGTGACCAGGGTGCCCTTCAAGTTCAGAAGGAAGACCAACACCGTTGGGAGTCCCCTGTGCTTGTCAACTCCCCTTTTTGAGCGCCTGAGTGCCAAGACAACTCAAGTTGCGTTATCTTCCATCAAGATGGTGCTCAAAAGCAACTTCCAGGGCCTCGAGTGAGCGAATTTTGTGAACGGACTCCAAAAGCAAGTTTCCCCATCAGAAAGCTGAAAGCAACATGGGGAATACACCGGGTTCACCACACTTCACCCCGCCAAAAGGACGCTTTTTTCTCGGGGCCCAAATGGTAATGCTTAAAGCCACCAAAAGTACCTCAGATTCATCCGGAGGATTCTACCAGTCAAAGGATAGGTACGGTCCTCAGGATGAATCCAAGGTTGACGTTCCCCAGAAACCCAGTGGCCATGGGAAAACAAGGGCACCCTTTTTGTTGGCGGTTGTTATTGAAGGGGCCCACTCCCTCCAAAGCAAGTTGCAAAAAACATCGCCCCACCTGTTGATCCATTTGCAAATACGTCCCTGTAAAGAACACATTTCCAGTAGTGATAGTTTGTAAACCAACAGGGTTATCTTAAACCAAGAGGGGTCACTGGATTTCCCCCTCAAAGTTGCAATTCACTGGTGGCGTCCATTGAATCAATCGCCACTGTCGGAGATTCCCAAAATGACATGGAGGAAACCTTGACAAATGGGACCCCAAAAGTGGTTTGCCTGTGGGTTCCCTTAAGAGCCATCCAAAAAGGTGTGCACACCCAAATTTTGACACCAACAAGGTCCACGGCTGTTTTGAGTGCTTTTCAGTGTTTGTCCTCCAGCAACACAAATGCAAACCACGTATCCCAAAAGCCCAAGACCACATGATGTAAGGTCGGGTGTGAACGCCCCTCAGGGCCCAAGAACCTCCAAACTCGTCTCTTGGTCTCTCGAACGCTTCTCGCCGCGTCGAACGCCCGCGGCTCTCGCCTTGGCGCGCTGGTGGTTGGTGAGCTCTGCAGCGCTCTCGAGGCGCCCGGCTGGGATCTTGTCCTTGAACCCAGGCACCAGCTCCTCTACCGGCAACACCAACCACCGGTGTTGCCCCTCGCGTGGGAGTCCATGAACATGTTCCACGGCGCCAGATGGCGGGGTCGCGAGCTCTTGGTTTACATTTGAATACTGTGGGTGGACGAAATCCATTTCGCACCACTTGGAATCCATGGTTGAAACCATAACGTTTATTGGTATTTACGTTGGGGAATCGGATCCTTCCAGGGTTTCTTAGGTGCGTTGCATGGATTTCGCACCCATCCACAGTATCCCGTAGAACCCGAAGGGAAGCCAGCCATGTTGAGACCCCAATTTGGGTGGTCGGTTTTTGGCATAACAACCAGCGCCTGAAACCAACGACCGGACTTCTAAGGGCATGGGCGGCGGTCCGTCTCTGTGGCTTGCCGTTTTTTGGGGGGGACCCACCAAGAAGGTGGCCGTTCGGCTTGGGTTTCCCAGAAAAAACCAACCCAAAAGGGTACCATCAGAAAAGGACACACCCAAATCCGATCCCCGCTGAAAGCGGTGGGTGGGTGTCTCAAAAAAGCGTCCCCCCCTATGATGGGTTTTAAGCCTTTGGCAAAATTTCCTAAACGCCCCACGTCTTAAAATAGGAGTTGGACCCCTAAACCGGTGGAGTTAAGCTATTCTGTCTTCCCAAACGACCCACAAAGGGAAACGCTCGAAAAAGTGTCCGAACCCCCAAGCAACCACTGGCGAACTTTCTAGGGGTTGATTCCACATTCTTTTCAACCATCGTTCTTTTCAAACACCAGCTGTTTCCCTTGGGGTTTTGGGTGTTTTTTGTTGGAAAGATTCGGATGCCTGGACCGAATGGCTAAGGTACCCCTAGACTTGGGACACATGTGAGCCACGTACTCAGCTGCCCCTATGGGACCTACCATTTCTGAGCTTCACCTTTTGGGCCACGAAAAGGGGACGAAATCCAGAAAACCCAAACTGGGCCCGTTTTCAGCGGGGCTAAAAGTGAAGAACCCGTGGAAAAATGGAAACTACCACTAAACACTAAAGGCTTTGCAAAGCTAAGGAACCGGATGGCTGGGAGCCAGCAAGAAAAGGTTGAAAGGACGGCTTTGGGCAAGTGAGGTTACTCTTGGTTGGTCAGAAGGAATGGGAACGATTCCTTCTTGTTTGGAGTTCATGTTTGGCTTCAAACAAAAATCAGCTGTTACACAACGGAACTGGAAGAAGGATGCATGCGTTCAGGATGGGGATGAACCCCATAAATCAATCGCTTGTTTGATTTGTTTGAACAAATTGAACCCAGCTCCTCTTGAACCCAAATGGGAGAAAACCTCAGCCAAATCGAGGAATGGGAAAGATACCCCGAGGTATCCCTTGTACAGTGAAACCGCTTTACAAAGCAAACCTATTTTCTATCCTGTGATTGCTCATGAGTGGCTCGCCGTAGTCCTGCATTCATCTGGTTCATGAATCCGAGGTCAACATACCTACCTGGACCCGCAAGGGACCACATTTGTCCTGCCTTTCTACCACTTTCTCGTGGGTCCATTGGGCAGAAGAAAAAAAAAGTGCATTGGGAGTCGTATCTTTCTCATCCTTGCAGATGTCAACGAGGTACAGCGCGTTCAGCGCGCTAGCCTGCGAATCGCGGGCTGAATGGGCCGGCTTCCGAAGCAGGATAGTCTCCGAAGTACGGGACCCCCGTGAGAGTCGGTTTTGCTGACCAGCCAGTGATCCTCAGGTCCCTATGGTATTTTTGGGCTTGACAACCCAGTCGGGACAGGCAGTGCTGTGGGCCATACTAGCCCAGCAGAACTTCTCTGTAGTGCATATGCAAATGGGCCATGTTCCTTTGACATTGCGTTCAACCAACCCAACGGGTACCCTCAAAAGACCCGTATATGACTCCAGCTTTTTCGAGGGTACCCGTTTCAAAAAAAAGTCCACTGGAAAACACGGGGTTCGCCATCTGCAAAACCCCATACGGTAATAGACTTCAATGGGGAACCCCCTCGACAGTGGTTGGTGGACATCAGTTCCCACCTAACATTGACCCCCATTTCGGGTTCGTGCTTAAAGTTCAAGCACATATGGTTGCGAAATCCGAGACCGCACCACGGCATGAAACCATGGGAACGAAACCACCGTTTGCGGATGCATCAATTTACGTTGGGGGCATCGGATCAGAAACCATTGGGATTCTCGTTTCTCTTTTCGATACAAAAAAAACTTGCCCACCTCTGGCACTTGCCCACCTCTGGCGGGTATTTGGCCCGCTTCTTGTTGTTTCAGGGCGGGTATTTGGCGCTCTTTGGGTAGCTCACATTTGTTTCCCAACCAAAGACCTGGCATTCGACGAACACGGCGAAGAAACAAAACACGGAGTTTAGGTGATACTCAAACAACTCCAAGGTCTTGAAGAAAGGACACCTTCAATTGAATCTCCCGAGATAGGGAGCAATTCCGCTATTTCCAGGGATCCTTCTTTCCAGCGCCTTTTCACTGTTGAGTCGGACCTAAGGAAAACAATTTTTCTCAAGTAGCTCGCGTACATGTTGTCGTTGACAGCTACCCCTTGGAGACGCTGGAACAGGCGTTCCGGGGAAGTGGAGCTACGGTAGGTGTCAATAAACGTTGGATGCTGTGGCAGGGCTGGGGTAACAAAAAGGCGACCGTGCCTGACACATGTCTACAGAACTGACGAAACCTATCTAAAATCTTCCGTGGCAAGATCAACCACCCCTGGTTTCAAGGATTTGCGTGATGTTGAGTGTAGAGACAAAGAAAACAAGTGCCAACTTTAACAATTCACCTGTTTGATATACGAGAGCCTCCAAAAGCTTCCTTCATCATGTGTGAGGTAACAACCCCGAGCTAACATTTGCACAGGCACATCTGAAGGTCTATCCTCGTGAATGTCGGCACCCGCGGTTCTTTTAATAATTCGCCCAAATTACCATCTTTTGTTTTCCCGATCCTTTTCAAAACTCTTCCACACAAAACATGCCAAACACAAGCACAGAGGTGCCCCTGTTCTTCCCTTGAGGCAAACAAGCGAACCAACATACTCACAACACAAACCGATAACCCAATTAAGCCAGCAATAGCAAAAGAACCCAACCAACCAACCAAACAACCAAACCAAACCAAACCAAACCAAACCAAACCAACCAACCAACCTTCCAACCAACCAACCCGCCAGCCAACCAACCAACCAAAACACAATGAACCTTAAAAAAAGGGAACAACAAAAACAACAAAAACAAATAAGGACAACCAAGAAACACACACAAACAGAGAGAAGAAACACAACAGGCAAAAAGAAACCAACAACAAATAAATAAAACACTAGCAAATAAATAAGACAAAATACATGAAAAAATAAGCTAATAAATCGAACAGTAAGCAATAATAAAGAGAAACACATAAGATTGTTTTCTGTGTTTAACATATGAATCAATCAGTCACTATGTGAAAACCTATGTACAGACAAAAGTACAAACCAATAGACAAATAACATAAGTCAAATCAATGATTGAAACAATCAATAAACAAGTCACTAAACAAATAATCAACCAAATTACATAACTTATGTATATTAAAAAACAACAAAAAAACAACACACACACATACACAAACAGACACGCACACACAGACACACATACACAAAGAGACACGCACACATACACAAAGAGACACGCACACACACAAACACACACACAATCACAAACACACAAACACACACAAACACAGCCACAAACACACACACACACACAAACACACACAAACACACACGCACACACAAACATACACACACACACACTGACACACACACACACACACGCAAACCCACACAAACCCACACACACACACAAACACACACACACACACACAAACACACACACACACACAAACACAAACACACACACACAAACACACACACACACAAACACACACACAAACACACACAAACACACACACACACACTTTCACACACACAAACACACACACTTTCACACACACACACACAAACACACACACACACACACACTTTCACACACACACACAAACACACACACAAACACACACACACCCACAAACACACACACACACACAAACACACACACACAAACACACACACACACACACACACACGCACACACACACAACCACACACACACAAACACACATCAACACACACACACAAACACACACACAAACACACACACACACACACACACACAAACACACTTTCACACACACACAAACACAAACAAACACACACACAAACACACACACACTTTCACACAGACACACAAACGCAAACAAACACACAGAAACACACACACACAAACACACACACACACACACAAACACATCAACACACACACACACACACATCAACACACACACAAACACACACACAAACACACACACACACAAACACACACACACACACAAACACACACAAACACACACGCACACACAAAAATACACACACACACACACACACAAACCCACACACACACACACAAACACACACACGAACACACACACACACACAAAAACAAACACACAAACACACACACACACACAAACACACACACAAACACACAAACACACACAAACACACAAACACAAACACACAAACACACACACACACACAAACACACACACACAGAAACACACACACACACACAAACACACACAAACACACACGCACACACAAACATACACACACACAAACCCACACAAACCCACACACACACACACACAAACACACACACACAAACACACACACAAACACAAACACACACAAACACAGACACAAACACAGACACAGACACAGACACAGACACAGACACAGACACAGACACAGACACAGAGACACAGAGACACAGACACACACACACACAGACACACACACACACAGACACACACACAGACACACACACAGACACACACACAGACACACACAGAGACACACACAGAGACACACACACAGACACACACACACACACAGACACACACACAGACACACACAGACACACACAGACACACACAGACACACAAAGAGACACACAGACACACAAAGAGACACACAGAGACAAACACAGACACACACACACACACACAGACACACACGCACAGACACACACACAAGACCTGGTCTTAGCGCAAAAAAAATCGTCCGAAAAAGGATCGATCCTCGCTGAAGGCGGTGGCCACATTGGAGGCCAAGCGCTCGATGAGGCGGCCGTGCTCCTCCGGCACAGCGGCCACCTGCGAAGGGACGCGGCTGGGAGTCGAGGCGCCAAAGGCGAGAAGTCGGGGGGGGGGGGGGGTACTTACAGTGCACAAAAATGGGAACCTTAAAAAACACAGCACAACATGGGACAACATGAGACCCCTAAAAACAAATGTGTTTTACCAGAAAAAAAAAACAAGCTGGACCCCGAAACTAGGTCCATACAAAAGGGAATTCGCCAACCATAGTTTTGGGGGCTATAAGCCATGTTTAAGGGACTCATGTGTTGCCATGGCACCTGACAGGCAGTTGGTCACAAGAGGACAATGATCTTCCAGATACCCTGCCACAGGTGCTATGTTAGTGAAAGGGAGTGCACCCTCAAACATTTGTTTAGTATAACAAACAAAACAAGCCGCACCAATGTGGGATACGGCACCCAAAAAACGAAGAAGGAAGGGCCCTAAACATACCTGGATCTCCTGGAAGTTAAGAATTCCTACTCCAAAATTGAAAAAGTACTTTTTGGCCTGAGGACACGGGTATTTCCACTTTCGAACGGGTATTTCTACTCTTGAACGGATATTTTCACTACCATCGAGGTGTTCATAAATCAGCACTGCACATAAATTATCAAAGGCTTATTGCGTAATGTTGGCGTATTTTTTACGTACCTCAGAACGGGTCCGAACGGGTCCGAACGGGTACGAACGGGTTCCGAACGGGTCCGAACGGATGCCTGAGCAGTCGGAACTACCCGAACGGGCATTTTAACACGGAGTGAAAATTATCACTCCAGCATGGAAGAAAGTACTTTTTTCTTTTTGGAGTGGGAATTATTAACTTTCAAGAGATGCAGGTATCAGTACCTCAAAACGCCCCAAAAGGGCTCTTTGAGCCGCTGACCCTGAAAAACTGGGCATTGTTTGAAGGAAAGCACACCATGAGACCCCCCCTGTACGGCAGGAATGAACACCTTGCGATATGCCAAGTAAGCACATCACTGTGCCCAGTCGCGTTCTTGTTGGGCCAAGAGCTTTTTTTTCTCCCAACCAAGTGTCCCTTTACGCCAACCCTTCCACCGAAAAAACGGATTGAACCAAGGGCACCATTGGGCAATGCTGTTGGGCACATCCTGCACCAGTTCAGATGCATGCATCAACACCAGGGAACTAAATGCATGTCTTTGTTAGAGGACCCCCAAAATGGTGGTCTTCCTTTTGGTTTCCCTTTAACACATCGCAAAAGGGTGCCCTCAAAACTTGACCACACTGACCCCCTGCAAACAGCTAAGCTTTTGCGCAGGTAAAGTGGAACCTAGAAATCAGCGTTCCCCCAAGTCTCTCATTCCAAAATTGAGGGGTTCAAATTCGAATCCAAACCTGAAAAAAGAAAAAAGGCAAACACTCTGGCAAGCAGTTCAGCTTTTTGCCAGCTGAAAGGTAAAATGATGGAAAACGACAAAGCGGAGACGCCCAAACAGCCTCCCCCGCCGCTTTCTCAGCCTATCTCCGCATGCGATCGATTCCCGCCTTGCCAGCCAGCGTGTAGCGATCGGCCAGCGGCAAAGCCAAAATCCTGGCGGGTCTTGGAGCACTTGGGTGTAGTTTTGCGAGCATACCCCTCTTCTTTCTGGTGTTATTGATAGGGAAACTCACTTTTTTGGAGGTCACCCGAAAACGACACACACTAATTTCAGTCCTTGTCTCCCTCTTTTAAGGGACCCGAACTTTCACTTCAATGTTGACAAAGGGGACTCGATTTAGAAGGACCCGACGGGCCGCGGGGGCCCCGACCACCTGTCTGAATCCCGAGGGACACACCCCCAATCATCAACTGATTCTGCTTCCGGGTCCCGATTGAGGAACCATTCCTCTACCATCAAAGTCACCCCCAAGCGCTAGCTTCAAGGGAAACCACCAACTCCTTCCCCCACACGATTCCATGGAAGCTCCCAGGGCCTTTTTGGAAGACTTGCTTCAATCTTAAGAGGCCTTCAGGGAGCTGTCGGCCGTTTGTCTGGGGGAGAAAAAAGGCATGGGGGAACTTTTGCTCTTAGCTTGCGTGGCTCCGTTGTAGCTGCCAAAGCCAAAAGGTTCGACAATGCCACAATCTGGTTCCCGGGCTTCTCTTTCCCGGACAAGCCTTGCTATCCCTTGCTTTCGATTTAGAAGCGGACTCTATTCACACCCACGTCTCCCCTTTTTGAGTTGCCAAAACCCAATCGAGGGTATAAACTTCGCCCACGGACAAGGGAACCAGAAGGAGGATCGATGTGATTTCAACACCGGCCCTGATGCATCGAATTTTGAGTGTTGCTTCCAGTAAAATGCCTCGAACCACTGAATACAGTTTCGCAAACTGGAATTCGGACAAAGTTAAAGGGACAAAAACAGGAAACCCTTGACAGTGTAGGGGATCCTTTCTTATTTGGACAAGCCCGCGTAGGCCTTGTTCCAGGCTGGTCATGCCGTTTCAACCCACCTAACAAGGGTGGTTGCGCTCCCAAAACTCAAGCCCCAATGGGTTCTTTCCTGTTGGTTACCGGTTCAATCAAAGGGTAGCCGAACAAAAAGACAGAAGCCCTGGTAATTTGGAAATCCGGCCGCATGTCGACTTCGGATTGATCAAAGGGAACATACTCAGATACTCAGTGGTTGCCCTGCAACGAACTAACCAAACCAAACCAAACCAAACCAAACCAACCAACCAACCCACCCACCCAAGCGACCAACCCGCCCAACCAACCCAACCAACCAACCAGCCCAACCAACCCAACCAACCAACCAGCCCAACCAACCCAACCAGCCCAACCAACCCAACCCAACCAACCAAACCTACAAACCCAACCAACCCAACCAACCAACCAAACCTACAAACAACCAACCAACCAACCAACCAACCAACCAACCAACCAACCAACCAACCAACCAACCAACCAACCAACCAACCAACCAACCAACCAACCAACCAACCAACCAACCAACCAACCAACCAACCAACCGAAGAACCGGATGCCTATTTGGGCGCAAGGGGTGTCGTCTGACTCGGATCCTCTGAAATCCGAAGACATGCGCCTCTGGCTCTGAAGTATTCGATCCACCATGGTGTACACCTGGGCGGCCTGTCAGGACGGATGCCCGCAAAAAGCTTTGGCAAGCAAACCAGCAGGGGTCACAGGAGTCCGGATGCAAGCTGCTGGCGGTTTCCATCGAAACGGCCCCTGCTAGAGGTTCCAAAAAAGGAAACCGAACCAACCAAAAAGCAGCCAAGTCTGTCACTTGCTGAGTGGATGGCCCAAAAAAAGTCCAAACTTTATATTTACCACTAAAATGGTCCAAACCCAAAAAGTTTAAAGTTCATGAACTCTGGAAGTGAGAAGTGAAGGATCCCTCCCGTAGGACACACCACTAGTGTCCCATTGTTGTCAGGTGAAGTCAACGAATATATTTTGACCAAGCGGTCTTCAATTCGTTCGGCGGCCTGGCTCACTGAGAAGCCTAAGACTTCGCCCTCGTTGCTGGTAATGACTTTCACGCCATTGCCTCGCTCGAGATCGAGCGAGCGCGACAGTGTGGCAAGTAAGCCCCCTGACCAAACGCCTGGGCCAGCAAAAAGTCCCTTAAAATTGGTTATAGTTCCACAAATGTGGGGGTGAATTCCAATTTGTGTGGGTAGTTTGAGGGTCCAGGTGTCTTTTTAGAAAACACAAACACCCACAACAAAAGGTGGATTTCCGCTTGGTTATCCTGAAAACCAACTCAAAAGGCCCCCGCCCCCGCAAAAAAAACAACACAAACCCACTATAGTGACTATAGTGAACAACTGTTGCTGCTTGAAGTGGGAAACTACACATTTACCAGCAGGCCCCAACAACTGTTTTTTCCCATGTCTGAAATTCCAAGTACTGTCCACAACAGTGGTTGGGGGGTTGGCACCCACAAAGCTCACGTTTAAACATGCAGCAACATAACAACCAAACGGCAAGGTCCATCACAAGCTGCCAACAGACCGACCCCGCCAAAGACAGGTGAGAAGTTGGTTGCTGTCTAAGCCACTGTTCCAAGAAAAGGGTTGCTGATTCAATTTCCCGGTTGCCCAAAAGGACCCAGAACCAAAAGGTTAACCTTTTGGGACCTATACCAAAAATAGACCAAACTAGGAAAACCAAAAGGTCAGATCACGTCGATTCGCTTTGGACCACTGAGATTTAGTTGCACTGGTTTAATTCCGCCAAGTCCCTTTGGCCTGTGCTTTGTCAAGGCCACGTACAAGTCTGGATGTGTCTGACAGGAAAAGAAACCCAAAGGCTACTGTGGATGGTTGCGAAATCCATGCAACGCGCCACCCAAGAAACTTTGGAATGAGTCGATTCCCCTGTAGATACCAACAAGCAATGGGTTCCCATGGATTTTCAGTGGTGCAGGATTTTGTCCATCCACAGTAGGGCACCGAAGCGAGAAGCGCTCTGAAATCCCCATCGCGCAAGGGATGTCATGTTTGCCCGGAACACAAGAACACGCAAAAAAACTCTTGCCCGGACCAAAAACGTAACCAAAGGATGTTTATGCTATTGGGATTAAAGATACGCTCATATCAACATGGAACCTGATGGAGGGTTCCTGGAAGACTATCTTCCTCTGACAGGGACCCTCTGGTGGGTTACGTGTTAGCAGTGTTTTGTCTTCTCTACCTATTCCTTTCTTTCTTTATTCTGTATTTCTTTCTTTCTTAATTTTCTTGTCCTTCTTTCCTTCCTTTCTCGTTTTTCTTGTCCTTCTTTCCTTCCTTTCTCGCTCTCTCTCTCTCTCTCTCTCTCCCTCTCTCTCTCTCCCTCTCTCTCTCTCTCTCCCTCCCTCCCTCCCTCTCTCTCTCTCTCTCTCTCTCTCTCTCTCTCTCTCTCTCTCTCTCTCTCTCTCTCTCTCTCTCTCTCTCTCTCTCTCTCTCTCTCTCTCTCTCCGGGCATGTCTCAGAGACCCTCAACATTGGTAGTGATCCTTGTCTTCCCCTTTAAGAGCATGGAAAACAGGGCGCCGTCAAAAAAAAGGACGTACCCTGTCTCTTCCTGACCTATCGCAGACCGGTAATGTCCAAATGGGATTAAAGAATGCACCCGGAATAAAGACAACTGGGGGGCCCAAAATAATTAGCAAATGCACCTGCAATAAAGACAAGCCCCTGCCACCCCCGCCCATGAAAAAAATGTCCCAACCAAAAAAATCACAAAAAAAAGAAGAGAGAAAGAGAGAAAGGACAGGAAGGAGAGGAGAGATAGCCACCCCTGGTCCTCTTTGGTACCTTGTTCCTTAAATCCAAAACTGTCAGCTTTACCAAACCCATGTTTTCTTACATGTCTCTTGTTTAAAACCTGCCCACAATCAAACCCACAAAGGGGGGAGCACTTCAGCCCCCAACTTGACATTATTTCAGGGGCCCCCGAAATAAAGTCTTGTTGCCTGGCCCCCCCAAGAAAAACAAAAGGAAGCTCCAGCAATACTAAATCAAATGGAAACTCAGTTCCAAATCTCAAAAAGGAAGCTCCAGCAAATACTATAATCAAAATGGTAAAACTCAAGTCATACTAAATGGAAACTCAATACTACGAAAAATCAAATGGAAACCCAGTTCCAAACCTCAAAAGGAAGCTCCAGCAATATTAAATCAAATGGAAACTCAAGTCTACCGATACTAAATCAAATGGAAACTCAGTTCCAAATCTCAAAAGGAAGCTCCAGCAATACTAAATCAAATGGAAACTCAAGTCCAGCAATACTAAATCAAATGGAAATCTCAAGAAGCTCCAGCGATACTAAATCAAATGGAAACTCAGTTCCAAATCTCAAAAGGAAGCTCCAGCAATACTAACATCAAATGGAAAGCTCAAGTCTACCAATACTAAATCAAATGGAAACTCAGTTCCAAATCTCAAAAGGAAGCTCCAGCAATACTAAATCAAATGGAAACTCAAGGAAGCAGCAATACTAAAATCAAATGGAAACTCAGTTCCAAATCTCAAAAGGAAGCTCCAGCGATACTAAATCAAATGGAAACTCAGTTCCAAATCTCAAAAGGAAGCTCCAGCAATACTAATCAAATGGAACTCAAGTCTACCAATACTAAATCAAATGGAAACTCAGTTCCAAATCTCAAAAGGAAGCTCCAGCAATACTAAATCAAATGGAAACTCAAGTTCCAAATCTCAAAAAGGAAGCTCCAGCAATACTCATCAAATGGAAGCTCAAGTCTACCAATACTAAAATCAAATGGAAACTCAGTTCCAAATCTCAAAAGGAAGCTCCAAGCGATACTAAATCAAATGGAAACTCAGTTCCAAATCTCAAAAGGAAGCTCCAGCAATACTAAATCAAATGGAAGCTCAAGTCTACCAATACGAAATCAAATGGAAACTCAGTTCCAAATCTCAAAAAGGAAGCTCCAGCAATACTAAATCAAATGGAAACTCAAGTCCAGCAATACTAAATCAAATTGAAACTCAGTTCCAAATCTCAAAAGGAAGCTCCAGCAATACTAAATCAAATGGAAACTCAGTTCCAAATCTCAAAAGGAAGCTCCAGCAATACTAAATCAAATGGAAACTCAAGTCTACCGATACTAAATCAAATGGAAACTCAAGTGGAAACTCAGTTCCAAATCTCAAAAAGGAAGCTCCAGCAATACTAAATCAAATGGAAACTCAGTTCCAAATCTCAAAAGGAAGCTCCAGCAATACTAAATCAAATGGAAACTCAAGTCTACCGATACTAAATCAAATGGAAACTCAGTTCCAAATCTCAAAAAGGAAGCTCCAGCAATACTAAATCAAATGGAAACTCAAGTCCAGCAATACTAAATCAAATTGAAACTCAGTTCCAAATCTCAAAAGGAAGCTCCAGCAATACTAAATCAAATGGAAACTCAGTTCCAAATCTCAAAAGGAAGCTCCAGCAATACTAAATCAAATGGACACTGAAGTCTATCAATACTAAAATAAATGGAAACTCACCTCACCTGGATCTCAAGATACTATTCTGCGTACCCCCTTCGTTGAGGCGGGGGGGGTCCCCCCTTTACTAATCCCATTTGGACATTACTGCAGAAAAGGGGTCGTGCTTTTCCTTTTGCTCTGGAAAGGGGTTCGGGGGGCCCCCTTTTTGAAAACAACCCTTGCGATAAACCCCAAGCATTTTCTTTCGGCACTCGAAATGCAGTTCATTCACGGATATTATATCCGCCAACCTTTTCGAGGCGGTGCCCTACTAAAGTTCATAGCCTCATGATTCGTGAGCCATGGGCAACAACGCGCGCCCATTGGCAAACCATGTTCGTTGCAAAAGCAAGGAACAAAGGGCAGCGCGGAACATGCATCGTTGACAAACAAAGATGGACCTGGAAGCAGTACGCAAATGAACTATCCTCTTAGTGTTTCTTGCAAGTGACGTCAAGAATGCGAAGTCAACATGGCGGTTGCTTCCTCTTCTGGATGAATCCATTTGTCTTGACACGGAAAGTCCAAAAGCGCGGTGTTCCTGTCGTGTCCCTCTAAAAAGGACAAAATGGGCACCCTCGCAAAAGACAACCATGCAGATCCACAGGATGGGATGGACTTGCTTGACAGTACCCCCAACAAGATGCCCTCTGATCCCCACAATTGGGGCTATGCACCTTGCTGGCAAGGTAATTCCACCGGAGCCCTTGAGAATACTAGCGGGTGTCTCTCTTTAGCGGATCCTGCACAACTGCCGCAACGGCGTTGCTTTTGGTTTTCCCTTAAAACTGCGAAAACAAGGGGCTGCCGAGCAAAGACAAGTTTGGCCCAACCTAAGTACCCACACCAAAAGGATCAAAAGAGCGCCGGACCTCCCAGCAAAACCACGCAGGATGACCCCAAACACTGCCAGTAAGCTCACTTCGAGTGGATTGGCGAAAAAAAACAGGCTTAAACTTCTTCTAAGTTGCCACTAGACTGGTCTTCCTCAAGAGTGCCCCCCAAAATACGGTAAGCTTCAAGCTTCCTAAAGTCCAGAAACTCAGAAATTGAGAAAGAGGATTCTGTCACCTGACTCAACGCTCGATTAAATCAACATTGAGTCAGGTGCCCCCTTACTCACTCCCTGAGCTTCTGGAACTCTAACTGTTTTTTCTCACCTGCTGAGTGGATGGCCCCAAAAAAGTCCAAACTTTAGATTTGCCACTAAAATGGTCTTCCCAAAAAGCTTAAAGTTCATGAACTCAGGCAGTGAGTTTCTCTCGCAACAGGAGCTTCCGAGCTCGGCCCCCGGGCTATCCGTCTGCGTGACCTAGAACACCCGAACCCCCCATGGATGCAGTGCGCCATGGTCAATACTTTCTTTGGGCCCTCACGGTTCACCGAAATAGAAATCCTTACCATGGTGGTGTGAACTCCCGGGAAGATGGCCCATCCTTAGATCCATCAAACTTCCCGCTCGCGAGCGGCTAGCCCATCTTCAGCACAAACGGTTCGTCAACAGAAACCGACATGGGGGGCCACGGGCAATCCACCACAAAGTCGAGCCACTGCACAGGATAAGCATGCATTCTGTTTCAAACTGCGTAGCAATTGCCGCCGAGTTGGTGCGCTTGGACCAAGTTGACCATGACGTAACTCAGGGGTCGCTGTGGATTTCCCCCAATTTGTTGGTGGTCTCCATTGAAAGTGCAACCTTTGGGTGCCCCTTTTTACATACCCAAACGGCTAAGAATCTACACGGGGAGCACCTCTAAAAGTGGTGCCCCGTGGAGAAACCGGAAGCCGTTGCGCAGGCTTCTTGGGAATTGTTGAACTACTTTGTTTAGGGCGAACCTGTTTGAAGAAGTTTCATTGAGGGAGCACGCTGTCGCAACACAGTTCAGCCTTCGGCGGGTTGCCTTTGACCAGAGGAAAGTGAGAACCTGCTCTGACACAGGAGTCTTATTGTCTTCCCCTTTGGGTGGGATTAAGCATCACCTCTTTGGCCCAAAGGCAAGTTTTCTTAGATGTTTTAAGGGGAAAACCTAGTGAACGCTCCGAGAGGTTCTTACTGTCGGCAAGGGGCGGCGCGAGCCTCAGCTTGACGTCGGGAGGGAAGTCGGCCGGGCCAAGTGCTCGCAATGGTTACATCACATCGCTCATTTTTGGCAGGTAGCAAATCAAATCAAAAGATATTCCACATGTGCACACATGTTTGTGTAAGTTCAAAGGCTGCCCACTTTGCTTACGAGCCTCTACGCTGACAAGGCAAGAATTCCCGCATGCTCCTTATATTCCGAATGCTCAGTTAACAGCAGGGTGCCCTACATACTGATATGGAACCACTCATGTGTAGAGGAAATTCCATTTGGGGGACCCCTTGTTGGGATGCCAACTTACTTCCTGAGAGTCCTTGGCCACAATCCAAACTGTTTTGATTGCCACCAAACTGGGCCAACGCGTTGAAAGTCCAGGAACTCAATTTGCAGGGAGTATATTGAAAGCAAAATCAAGGGTTGCAGTGGACCCACAAAAGAACCACAACGTGTTGGCCGACTTCCGCGCCCAACCTTCGGCGTTTTGATCATGGCCCAACAAATTTGCAAGGACCCCGGGTTTCTTGAAATCTGGTGTGCAGAAAACAAAAAGCACACATATATATATATATATATGCTCACCCCCCCCCCCAAACTGGGCCAACGCGTTGAAAGTCCAGGAACTCAATTTGCAGGGAGTATATTGAAAGCAAAATCTAGGGTTGCAGTGGGCCCACAAAAGGACCACAACGTGTTGGCCGACATCCGCGCCCAACCTTCGGCCTTTTGATCATGGCCCAACAAATTTGCAAGGACCCCGGGTTTCTTCAACGACATCTGGTGTACAGAAAGAAAAAGCACATATATATATATATATATGCTCAGCCCCCCCCCCCCCGAGCGCCCACCTTTTCACTTGTACAGTCTAGCAAAACTGATACTTTCAAGAGTAGGGGTGAGCATACATATATATATATATTATGTACATTTGTCGCTTTGATGCCACTGACCTATACTTCATACACAGTTTCCGTTATATAGTACTCTGCTGCTAGAAGCTCAAACAAGGTCATTCAAATTATATCTTTTCTTGTACAGTAGATATGATGTCAGAAGCCAGTGAAATCTCTCTGGAAACGGCCCTGAATGCCACCCAACGCGTCAAGAACTTGTCCAAGCCCAATGTCGTGGACTTGCCTCGTGGTCCTGTCTCGCCTACTGACCTTCCTCTTTGCAATCTCAAGTCTGCCTCGCGGCCAAGGATGGCCGCTTTGCGGACATGCCAGCGCCCTTTCGCTTGAAGACTTCTCCTGGTATGTCATATAGTCTTCAACTTGTTGTTCTTCCTCTTCCTAATGGGCAGCACTTCCTCCTGAAGCACATCATCTTCCCGGATCAAGTTAAGGCTGAGTTCGTCTCCACCCTTTGTCATGGAGAAGTTCTTACTGTTTCCTGGCAAGGCAATGCCAAGAACGGCCCAATGGGCTTACTGGCACAAGGGTGCCAACCTGTGGGAGGCCATATTCTGCAGACAGTAGGCTCGAGACGCTCATAGATTGTAGCACGATGCTTTTGTGAAAAAGCTCAGCAATCTGTCTTCCATTCTTCAGAAACAAGTAAAGGAAATGATTTTTTGGCATTTGTTTGAGTGCAGGTTTTAAGCACCAAGGCTCCAAAACCTGCACAGGCTCAACAAAAATGCAACAAATCCCAACCTGAAAGCTCCAAAACCTGCACAGGCTCAAAAATGCAAGAATCCAGACCAATCAAGCGTGGCCTCTGACATTGCATCTGGGCTTTGGATTGTTTGCATTGCTTTGAGCCTGTGCAGGTTTTGGAGCTTTCAGGTTTGGACTTTTTGCATGTTTTAAGCCTGTGCAGGTTTTAAGCACCCAAGGCTCCAAAACCTGCACAGGCTCAACAAATGCAACAACAACAACAACAACAACAACAACAACAACAACAACAACAACAACAACAACAACAACAACAACAACAACAACAACGACAACAACTACAACAACAACAACAACAACAACAACAACAACAACAACAACAACAACAACAACAACAACAACAACAACAACAACAACAACAACAACAACAACAACCACAACAACAACAACAACAACAACAACACAACAACAACAACAACAACAACAACAACACCAGCAACAACAACAACAACAACAACAACAACAACAACAACAACAACAACAACAACAACAACAACAACAACAACAACAACAACAAGAACAACAACAAATGCAACAATCCAGACCAACCAAGCCCTGACCTCTCACATTGCATCTGGGTTTTGCATTTGTTGCATGTATTGAGCCTGTGCAGGTTTGGAGCTTTCAGGTTTGTTTTTGTTGCATGTTTGAGCCTGTGCAGGTTTTGAGTCTGAAACAATCAAAAAAAGTTTTTTTTTTTGTTTTTTTTTTTTTGTTTTTTTTTTTTAAGTGCTTTTTTGCAGTGTCCTTCAAACAAACACTTCAATAAAAAACACTGCAAATAGCAGTGTTTTCAACACTGACAAAGTTGCATCTAAAAACTCTGTCCGTTTTCGTGTGTGTTTGCTTTCTCGAATCCTGTGTTGCATCAAGCACAGAAAGAAGATCTGAGACAATATCAACAAATGCACAACAACACCCTAAATTACAGTGCTTTCTGCAATGCAGCTGCAAACCAAGTGGACACTGAACATCTGCAAATCAATCTCTTTCATGCAAAAAGGAAAAAGGCGGGCCCTGGGGGGGGGATATATATATATATACATAATATGGTACCCCTCTGTTTACACTATGGCCCTTCTGCAGCCAAGAAAGGGCTGAAGTGTCCGAAATATAATTTTAGACCATCGGCACAAAAAGGCACCAAATAAGCAGGCCCATCGGGTGGGCGAGGGGGGTGAAGAAACAAATATACATTTGTATATCATATATATATATATATAAATAATTATATATATATATAATTATATATATATATATATATGTTCGAATGATCTTTCACGGGCAGCCAATACAACATAAAAGCCGGTGGAGGACATGCTTGACCTTCCCTGGGCCCTGCACTCCATAGCCACCGGGTGTGGCCTTAGCGAAGGCGAAGGCTGCTGGGATACTCAACTGGCGGATTCCTCCAGACCGGCCCCAGCCTTAGGACCCAACTGAACAAGCGACAAACTCGAGTCCTTTTTGGGGTTCTGCCTGTCCCTCAAACTTCTGGGCTACCTTCCAACCATTCTTTCCAGGGATCCTTCTTACAGAAAATCATCAGAACCCCAGCAAAAACAGCCGGTGCCTACCCCTTGTACATACCCCTTGGGCAGATGAACCCCCAAAACCCAAAATGGTATGAGCAAGGGTACTTCCACTTTTAGAAAAAATAACGAATCTAAACTGCAACCAAGTTAACCTAAAGAGGGCACCTCTGATCCTGACCTGCTGAGTTCACTGGCCGAATATGTATGACTCAACTTGAAAAGGGCCCTGACGATGAGGAATGAACAAAATGCCAAGGCAAACGTCAGGTTTGCCAACCCGACCGGTGAGTACCACGAGTAGGGATTGTGGCTTCCAAATTTCTAGAGGGTTCCTTATGCCCAGCTAATCGTGTCTTGTGCAGCTGAGGCCTGAGGCGAGGTTCTTGCAGCTATCAACCAGCAGTTCACCAATCAGCTTGGTTGCCACTAGCTCAAGCCTCCATGCTGCAGAAGGCCGCAATGCTGGGTATAACCCACGGCAAAAGGACTCGCGCGGCTCTTAAGCCAAGGCAAAAACCCTCTGATTTGGTTCTGTCTTTTTGCGGGTACTCTTTTTGGGTTGGTTTAAAGTGACACCAACAGGAAAACCACCATTTGACACAACCATAGCCACCAACAAATAGATCGCCTCCCCAAGAATCGCATAGGATTGAGCAAAGTGATGGCTTTAGGGTTCCTAAACGGGGCGGTCGCCGATGGACGCATAGAGGTCAGAAGGCCCAAGTATTGTCAGCTGCCCCGAACCAGCCCGAACGAGCCGATCTATCTGAGCCTATCGACCCCCCCCGAAACACTTCCACTCGGGGAACAAAAACAACATCAAGACCCTGCCCTGCAAAAACTTTCACTTTTAGTGGGTTGAAAGGGGGCCCGCTTGAAGAGCTAGCGTTACGCAGGTGTTTGTCTTTGGTTCCATTTACCAAGGTGCCATTTTGGTACATCTTTTCAGCCACAGCCATATGGCCATTGGTCAAACCCTCGTACCCCCAGTGAACATCCCAATCCCCACTAAGATAGGTTCTAAAATGGGTGGTGAATTCACCTACCCCAAAATGTTACCATTGGTTTTGACCCACAGCCATATGGCTGTGGGTCAAAAATAGGTACCCAAAATGGAATCCTGGTATATGGAAACAAAGACTAAAACCAGCGGTCCTCTGTTCAAATTTGACTGCCACAGCCATATGAGTCAAAAAAGGAGACTCAACCCTTTTTCGTGGTTTTGAAAGAAAGCCAAAAGGACAACCACCATGGTTGGGGGGGGGGGGGGTAAAAAAAGGAAACGAAACCTAAGGACCTTGCCCCCGGCTGGGCTCCCACAATTCGCTCTCCTCGGCCCCGCACGAGCTGCGCCACCATGGCCATGCCCTCGCAATCGAGGGCAATCGAGAGCTACGAGACCGAAGGCAGCGGGTGTTCCCCATGAAGCAGGAGAAAATTAGCTAGCACACGCAGCTGTTCTTGGCCCCCTATCGAAACCGGCAAGCTGGCAGCAGCCCGAGAAGGAACCTTCATCCGAGTCGAAGTCGGGCCGCAAGCTGTGGGGTCAACAGGGCACACGGCTCCAGGCTACAGGGCCTTGGCCCCAACCCTCTGTAGCAGTTAACAAGGCAAAGGGGCCGCAAGATAGCCACAAGAAAAACCGAGCCACTGTGAAACTCACTGTCGCAATCAGGCAATGACAACAGAAAGGGTTGTCACCCCTTTGGTGTGAACGTCTTTGCGGACTCTGGTCTTCTTCGCTTGGTCTAGTTTGCGTGGGGATTGGCACACTCGGGCCTTCTTTATCAGCGCGGTGGTGCGTGTGAAGGTCCCCAGAAAGCCACCGCCGAAGCTCATTCAGTGAGCCGGCTCACAGTGCTATGCCCACAAGCGCCTAAAGGTGCAGCCAAGCCATCAGGACAAACAGAAAGAAGTGCCTAGTTAGCCAGGTTGCTGCTTTTTTCAATCACTGTTGCTATTTTTTGGGGAAAGTTCCTGGAAAAAAACGCGATTCGCAACTGGCGATCCAGCTGGAGCTTCCATCCCAACTGCCGGTGGCAGAGAAGCTACAAACTCCCAAGGTCTCCACTCCTGGACACATGAAACACATCACACTGGCGAGTGCCTTCATTTTCGTACAGGACTAGACGCCAACCACAAACCACTGACAATGGTATTGCTTCCCTCCAATTGAGGCAGGGAACTTGTCGACCTCAGGGGGAAAGGGTGTATCAATCAGGGGGAAGCAGTTGATCTGAAAAAGCTGGAATAGCGGACCCTATCCCGCAATTTAAATACCTCGACTCTCCATAACCCTTTAAAAATGGGTCCATGACCCCATTATTTTGGGTAATGACCCCATGTTTTAAGGGTCGTGGAGACTCCAGGTAGTCTCTTTTAGAACGCCGTCCCAAAGGCCCCTGACTGCGCCTCAGACCGTGCTCGGCTTGCCCAGGAAGGCGGCCGAACTCAAAAATCGGCCGAACGTCGCGTCCGGCCCCAGCCCTCTGCAATCCAGACGGCTCTGGCGTCAAAAGATGCTTGTTCCAGGGACTGAGAAATCAAAGTTTGCTCGGCTGTTCAAAGGTTATCTCACTTGCTGAGTGGATGGCCCAAAAAAAGTCCAAACTCTATATTTACCACTAAAATGGTCCAAACCCAAAAAGCTTAAAGTTCATGAACTCAGGAAGCGAGTTCTCCTTGATCCTTACCTTGAGTTTCGCAAGGATTTGGGTCCCTTTGGAAGTGGTCCATGCCAGGGTCAAGTCTGGATCCGCGGACTCGCCCGAAGCCGAGTGTGCGTGCTTTTGGTTGTTTGGGGCTGGTCAAGATGGTTTGGGTTGGCCAATCCGATTTCCAATATCCTTATAGGAAAGCCACCCTTAGCCAAAAGGAAAATTGCCAAGCGTTTTTACCTTTGGCGTTTCACGGAATATATTATCTAGATTATTGACTTCTTCGGAGCCATAAACTCTATTGGGCTCATAAGTACGTCTTTCTGGGTCCAAGTTTGGTGCAATGAGCACCTCAGGCACCGCGACATGGCCTTCTGATCAGTCAGTTTGGTTGAAAACTAGATCGGCTATTCTAAGGGACACCAAAACGCAACCAACGTCTCTCGGGTGATCTTTGAACCACGTTTCACTCTTGGCCAAAGCCGTGCCCGTTTCACTCGTTGAAGGTTTTGTTCTATAGACAGATTTCTTGGTTTATGTGGGCCTTACTACAATCCCTATTCAACCAGTAGATTCACTACCATCGCCGAGAGGAATCGGCAATTTTTCGCGCGCTATACTGAGAACAAAGGCATTTCGTCCGAAAGGGCGTCGTTTTCTTTTGCGGGTGCCTGTTTTTTCCGGCAAGCTGGAAAACCGGACAACTCCCCGAAATCCATTTCGGGGGTCCCTGCAAAGGTTAAGGCCCGGTCGAATCAAACTAAGGTTCTCAATAGAAACTTGACAAAAATCAATCAAATCCCACAAACCACCGGCTTGGCCTGGCGCACATGTGCCAGGACTTCTTGGGTTGGTTCCCTACTGACCTTTCGTTCAGTAGTCCCGAAAAGTATAGAGGTTGGTTCCGGCCCAAACAGCGATCAATGTCCTAAAGCAAGACAAAAGCAAGCCACCTGGGGTCCCGAATTGTGCGAACCCACCTACATTTATATAAAACCAAACATCATTCGACGACGGGAAGACTACAGGAAGAGGACTGCAGTGAAGACGGCCACGACCAGTTATGGCACGCAGGGATGCGTTTCGTCCTAGAGGCTTAAACTTCACAGAAGCAAGCGGCCCAGAAGCTTCCCACAAGATTCTCCGCACGGTGTGACCCCTGAAACCGTGCTTATCCGATCTTCTCCGTGCTTATCAACAAGAAACCATGCTTAATGAATAGTCTTCAAAAGTGACTAAAGTCCGGAACCTGGGAAGTAAGAGATTGCAACGGAAGCCGGGTTCAGTGCTTGAGAGCCCCTTTGCAGTTGCAGGGTTCGACACATCCAGTAAGGACGAAAGTTGGTCCTGGTACGAAGGACCCACAACTATTTTGCTATTTGGGTGTGTCGTGCTGTTGGGAATGGACACCACCCAACATGGTGGTTTTCCTTTTGGCTTTCTTTCAAAACCACGAAAAAGGCTTGCCTCCAAACAAGGACAACCCCCATTTTAGTCTATTTTAGTGGGGATTGGGATGTTCACTGGGGGTACGGGATTTTGAATGTATTTTTGTGACGCTTTTTCAACCATCATGGACATTGACAGGAGTCTGTAGGGTTTTGGAGAGCATCTCCCGAAAAGGCCCCGCCGCACGTCCATGATTGCTGGAAAAAGGACCCCCTTCTGGCTTGATCATGTTAAGGATCGAACAACCCTTGCCTTAAAGTAGCCTGCGAGGACATGTGTATCGATTCCCAATTCTCTTTACCCAATCTTCTCTGTAAACACCACCCATTTCCCACGGGATTTGCGATAATGTTTTTGAAGATAAGCTGAGTGTTGTTCGGACAGCTGCAAGTCCCTATTTTCCTGTGACACGGACCTATGGGCCCCAAGTTTGCTGGAAGACTGCGACGGCTATGTCTCCAAACTTGGGCTCCAAAATGGCTGGTTTCCTTTCGCGCGCCCTGAAAAGACCCAAACTCGAGCACGCCCAAATACCGCGGAAACGCGGCCTTTGGTCAGTAGAGCACTCTGCAGTCTGAGGCCGCGTTTGGCTACTTGGCTGCGTCTTGTCTTGAAAAGGAAATCACCAATTTTAGAGGTTCCACTAGTTCTCACTTCCTGAGTGGATTTGTTTTTATTTTTTAACACATTTACAACTAAAATGGCCCAAGCCAAAAAAGTGGCTCAATTCCGAATCCCGGAAGTCAGGAAGTGAGACTTTCAGACACACCCAGCAGCCGCAGAAAGCTACCGTCTCACTCCTCGTCTCTTTAAGAGTCGGAGGCGTGGACCTTGGTCGGCGAACAAATCTGGGCTGCCCCGCTAAAAGTTTCACTTTTAGTGGGTTAAATGGAAACTACCACTAAACACTAAAGGCTAAAAAGCTAAGGGGATGGCTGGGAGTCACCAAGAAATGGAAAGAACGCTGTCACCTGCTCTGGGCCGAAAACCAAAAGGAAACTCTGTCCGTTATCAGATCTGCTCAAAGTGGGAAACTTCAATCTACCCTAAAAACCTAAAAGCCTGTCTGGGGATGACTGGGAACCACCAAGGAAACCAACCAGCAGTTGCTGATTTTTAGAAAAACAATCTTACTGATGGGTTTCTTCTCCACAAGCAGCACTGGCCAAAACCAAATTTGAAACACGTTGGATTAATCGCCTCCCAAGTGGTGCGAAATGGAGTTTGTCCAAGCCCTGATATTGGTGGCAACTCCAAAGGGAAGCATCAAGCATCTACCCTCCGTGAACTGTTGGAACATCCATCACGTTGGTATTTTGACGGCCAAACAAAATCCAAACTGTTTGGCTTCCACCAACATTCTCTTCCGACAAAGCTTAAAGGTCCAGGAACTGAGGAAGTGAGACCACAGGGGATATTGAAACTAGCTCCCCCTTTGGGAGGGAGTTCCCCAGTGAAACCTGGAGCTGAAACTCCTGGTGTTTCTAAACAGGGAGGTCACTTGAGCAGCGCCTGATGTAGGCTAGAATCCGAACTAAACCAAGTAGAATCACCTAGAATGGCCAAGAAGATTCTCCCAGTATCCGCCCTCCCGTTTTGTGGAGCCGGTACGCTCTTTGTCCGTTGGAGTCAAGCTGTTGCAATTTGACATGTCACCAAACCTTTGCATTACAGATGAACCCTGCGAGATCTTTCGGAAGATTGCGACTTCAAAGTGAACGTGTCTTTTTCTTCCCATGGTCTGGAGCTACCCTCGGGTAGCGATCAATTTTTGTTCGAACCACCTGTCTCAATCCTAAGGCAAATCAAGGGTGAAAGCCGGGCGCAAGCTTGGCTTCACTTGAAAAATTGGAGCCCGGAAAAAAAAGAAAGAAAAAGAAAAGCGGAAGACCAACAGGTTGCTTAATTCTACTGTGGATTAACAAATCCTGCACCACCCAAGAAACCCTAGACATGATGACTCCCCTGTAAATACCATCAAACAATGGTTTCTCATGGCTTCAAAGTGGTGCAGGATTTCGTCCCTCCACAGCATGATGCTCAAACATGTTTGAACAAGAGGCTGGCCCAACCCTGCCTAAAGGGGCAGGGTACTCAGTAATTAAGTGGTTAATAACTATGGTTATAACCCACTTAGGAGATTTAAAATCATGGCAAGTGGGTTGTTTAACACTTACCCAGAGGGTCCAAGTACCTCAGGAGGATGGCTTTTGGGGGCCGAAAAGGGGTCTAAGTACCTCCTTAGAAGGTACTTGGACCCTCAAGTACCCTGCCCATTGAAGTGGTACAGACCACTGAATTTTGTCTCGGCCCTGCACCCCAGCCTCTCTCTCACTCCTGCGCGGGCTTCGTCTCGAGAGTCCTCGAGTCGGAAAACCCCGAGCGCGCGAGACGTGAGTTGCAAACGAAACCTGGTGTTGACAGGCCCAGAGGCTCCAAGTACCTTCTAAGGAGGTACTGAAGGACCCCTTTTTAGCCCCAGAAAGCCATCCTCATGAGGTACTTGAACCCTCTGGGAGGGGTCGCAGGATTTCCCTTGCACAAGTTGCAATTTTCTGTCGAGCTCCTTCGAAACTAGCGTGGATGGACAACATCCTGCACCATCCTGCACCGGTTTGTAGCGTGGTTTATTCCATTCTTTGCACAACTTCATATATCCCAATTGGCGCCAATTGGTGTGAGGCGGATGTCGTCCACAGTAGGGTATGTGTTCAGATGGGGACCCTACACAGGGCTTGGATTTTCCTTAAAAGGCTTCCTGAGAGGAACCCACCGCGCAAAAAGCAGACCCTCAAAAAATAAAGTTGGCTTTGTCTCAAAATAGGCCCCCAAAATGGCAACGGTATTGTGTTGGCTTTCCTGTAGAACGAAGCACAAGCGGCCCCCTGAGCAAAAGAAACGCCCACAATTGTGATGTAAGAGGCTAAAATAATTACCAATAGTCTACCCCTGTAGTCAAAGCTGATTATGGTTTTGAAGTGCCCCAAACGCCTGTTCAAATCATTTCGGCCATTGTAGAGCGTATGGCTATGAATTTGATGCACCGCCTCAAAAGTGCTTGGTGCACATACGTAAGTCCAAAATGAAAGGGCATACATATAGACATGCATCTATATACGTGCTTGTAACACATATACATACATATACATACATATAACATATAGTCAAACATGCAAGTCATTCTGTTGATCCGTTGGTTTGTTTTGAAGGCTCAAGCCAAATTGAATAACAACCGTGGAGGCGGCTTGTGAGCAAACACCCATGAACGCATTACCCCGGATATGGGGGCGATCGATTCGGTACGTCAGGTAAGTGGTTCGTAATTATGGTTGTAACCCTGAACGAGACTTATAGTCATGGCTTTCGTGGGGTACAACCATGCTTCTTAACCACTTACTGAGCACCCTGCCCTTTTAAGTGGGGGGCATTATCAGTTGCACTTGCCAAAAACGAAATCCAGCTTGTTCTTTTGGAGAAGACGCAAACCAGCCGCGACTTACCACAAAGAGCAAAGAACGGTCAGCTTCCACCTCCCGTGAGTGGGAAGTGCAACTAGCCATGCCTTGCCTTTTTAAGCGGGTCAACGACCAACCCACTCGAGCCCACAATCAACACCCTGTAACCCAGAGGGTCCCTTGGTACTTCATGAGAATGGCTGTTGGGAGTAAAAAGGGGTCGTTCAGTACCTCCTTAGAAGGTACCAAAAGACCCTCTGGGTTGGGGATAGTCCCAAGCATGAATTGGTGCGGATATTCGCCCTTGTATTTCCTTCCATAAATTTGGGTCGACCCTTTCCAGAGCACCCTCAAGTTCCCTTTTTTACCCTCACTTGTGAGTGGGAGGGTACCTTGAAGCTGAGCTTCCTCTTGAGAGCTGTCAGGGAGTGGGAAACCAAAAAAGAAAACCCAGATATATCTTTTTGGTTGGGGGAGATCGTACCCCCAAAAGGGGGTTGGCTGGTTGAAGCTTGTTGCCCCGTGCGGAGAGCGGCATGGGATCGTTCCCAGCCCCCGGCATCGAATCGCCCCGAATTCGCCTGGCGAGGATGGCATCCAGCTCCGCATCCAGCTGCTCGCCTGGTGGAATGGTCTTCCGGACGAAGCCGCCCAAATCTGTGGCTCGTCTTTTGGTCGGCTCACCCTGTCACATGCATTTGGGTTCTATTTGTTTTTACACAAAGAAGCGGGTTTCCTGGGCGCCCTTATGGCTTGCTTCCCTTTAACACCAACCAAAGGGGTGCCCTCAAAAGCAAAAGCCACACCCAAATGGCTATGAATTCCACTGCTTCTTCGGCGCTGTTCTCTAGCTTGAGATCGGACTCAATACTTGGAAGCCTCATGGAACATGTGAGACCCTCCGCACGGGAAATGAATCACTTGGCCTCAACGACTTTGAGGTAACCGTCATTGTCACTTGAAAAGGTTCCTGTGGATGGGCAAAATCCGCCGCACCACGAGATGAAACCATGGTTGAAACCACAACGTTTGTTGGTAATTACAGGGGAATCAAAAGATGTCGATTCGCTTTGAACAACTGGGCCAATGTCTCCCACAAGTGCACCACAGACTTCTAGACCTTCTGAGCAAACCCGGCGGAACTAAAACATTTAGAGATTCCTCTTCGAAACGGCGAGGTCTTCTCAATGAGCTTGCGTGGAGTAAACGGGGGCAAGAAATGCAGGGAGATCACGTGATCTCTTTTCCTGAGTGGATTGGCCATAAAGTCCGGACTTATTTTTCTCCACTAAAAGGGTCTGTCCGGAAAGTATAACGTCCAGGAACTCAGGAAGTGAGGGATTGGGCTTGCCGCAAATGGGATCCCTCAAGCTGACGCGGGCTCTGCTTGCTTTTCCTTTGAAGCATTTAGGCCACCCGAATCGAATTCGGAATTGATTCGCCCAAAGACGCCGCAAGGACGATGGATTCAGCCATGGAAACCCTGGTAATCCGCATTCAAAGCAAGAGGTTATCCCAGTTGGCCAGTCAACCTGCCAGACAAAAAAAGTGTGAGTTTTCTTTGTTTTGTGTTTTGTTTTTTTTTGGGGGGGGGAAAGAAATAGGCATAAGAAACTAGACAGACAGAAAAGTGGATTTTAGAGCTTCTGTGTATTATCCAAAATCACTCAATATCATGTCTATCTTAGTAATGTGTCCCCTCGAACAATTTGTAGCATAGTAACATGTGTACATGAAGAAAACACAACAATTCAAAATATAAGACAATGTAAGAAAGGACAAGATATAAATGAAGAACGTGCATAAAAATACAAATCACAAAAATATAATACCTGTATCTTCCAAGAGGGGCATAATTTCAGCAGTTTCGGGCACAACCATGTTTTAAGTTGAGACGGCGCATTTTGATGCAAACTGCGGTTTTCCTCTTTTCAGCATCAGGGTGCATATTCGAGGTCAGGCGGCGCTTGAAACTCATGCCAGTATGCTGATTCCGGTCGAATGTGATGCACTTGACTTCGCAGCACTAGCGCCGCAGTGATCTATTTGTTTCTTTATCACGCCTCTTGAGTATTGGAGGTCCAGCAAACAGCATCCAACCACTTGTTGCAGGCGCAGGCCTGGGCATGAACTGGTTTTACTGCTGCTGCGCGACGAAGGTTATAGCCATTTCAAGCAACACTCACAGTTGGAGTGGTAAGATCTCTATTGGCCTCACGAATCACACAAATGTCAAATGTTTTTTGCTGAGTTGTTGAGACCATTTGCGACTAAAACCTGGCGCATGTTTAGCTTGAAATGCCTTCCTAACGTCAGAAGGGCAAGTCTTGCATAGTGGTTAGCTGCACACTAGGATGGAAGGCCAATCCGCTTTAGTCTGGTTTGCATGCAAGCCAAGAAGGTTGGAAGCGTGCGAAACAAGGAAATGAGGGAACCACGCCAACACATACAAATGTAAGTTGCTACTTCAGCAGTTGCCGTGATATTGCTGTTGGATGGCTTTGTTTACTGCCGCGCACACCTGGGAAGCGTCAATTTCTGAATTGCAACGGGGCTTGCCATCGCAGCCCTAGAGGGAAAGACCCCGAGTTGTGTCGCCTTGGAAAGATTCAGGCAACTGTGTCCAAATTTGCAGAAACAAAACGGCGATAATTCGCGGCCAAACGGCGATAATTTGCGGCCAAACGGCGATTTTTAGCGAACCACATTCACAGCGCTTGCCGGTTCACTTCACACGCTGCTCTATCACATGGGCTCTCCCAGGAAGCAAGCTGTTGTACGGGCTGTCCTCGGAGATGACTGTCGGTCATCATTCTGGCTGCAGTCATTTTTGACAAGAATATATCAGTAAGCAGCCACAACATATTAAAGTGAATCAAACTTGCTGATGTTGGCACTGTCTGAAACCAATACTTAAGTGGTGATGTGATTCGTGTTGGTGGCGTGCTGTGCTGAGAAGGTGCGAGGGGTGACTGCGACTCGAAAAAAAAGAGTGAGGAGCTTAAGCTACAGGTCTCGCATGTCCTCCTGGGTGAGCGCTGCTTGACACGTCAACTTGCAACGAACAGTTGCATGTGCTGCAGAGTTGCTTTGCGCACGCAAGTCTGGAATTCTCAGGATGTTGGTTCCAGACCCTTCGGGGCTCTTGAGCGCCACCATTGACAGATACGAAAGACAGTATGCTCAGACCCAAATCTTGCGCACGTGCTTGAAACGCTACTGGCTTTGCTCAGGGATGCGCGGCAGTAGCAGGATTTATCCTGCTATCCGAAGCTTTTAAGCAACTTTGAATCTGGGCATTTTACTCACCATGCCCTTCACACACCTCCAGGCGCATTTGTCCGCACTAAATTGGGGCAATGACGCAAAATTGAACGAAACTGCAAGAAATTCGCAAAACGGCAAGTGTTGGTTGAAACGGCTGAAATTAATTGAGACGGCAACATTTTCTGCAGTTTGGCCAAACGGCAGAAATTACGTACCCTCAGAAGATCCAGGTATAATTCTATTCAATAATAACTACACTATAACAAATATTAAACCGGCATACATTACTATTATTATGATTGTTTCTATGTCATTGGCTCAGTTCCTTGTCTAACAGCCTGCTAAGGCAATGAATGCTAAAGAAGACAGTAAATGAAAAGTGACTCCCGGAAATTTCCAGTCTCTTCTCTGCTGTATTTGGAGGTTTATCTTAACTGGCACAGGCCATGGCTGACCGCAGAACCTTCTTGCACTTCGCCTCGTGACTTCCCTTTGAAAAACCCAAAAGGACCTTCCAAAACGACACCTTTGAGGGCAACCCTTTTGGGCCTAGAAAGAAAAGCCAGAAGGAAGCCCCCTGTTTTGAGGGCAACACGTTCTTCGACAGCCCTGCGTGTGTGACATGGTCAAAACTTCTGAAAGCTCCAGCTTGGCAATCACGAGCAACGATTGTCCACATTTACAACAACAAATGATCAGCCCTACCAATAGGTGCCCCAAAATACCATAATAATCCGGATCGCTTTTGGAGGAAGCCCCCCTCCTGTTGATCGGCAAAATGTCTTTTCCGGGGTCGGCGCTGTGCGCCGAATCAACCAAGCATGCAGTGTACGAACCGACATGGACCCTTTGGGGACCGATTTCCCATAACTAAGCCATGACCCAGAACCAATTAGAGGTTCAGACCAGGGGCTCATATGGCCGTGGGTCAAAACCCAGGAAGCCCCTGAACATCAAAATACGTGGTACATGGGTGTCCATCCGCCCCAAGATGGAGGCATAGGTTATGACCCATGGCCATATAAATCTATATATATATATATGAAAAGAGGCTAGTCTTGGCAAAGTCTGCTGAGTGTTGGCTACCATTGTCGATGGATCGCTCTATGATAGAAATTGCATCTTTTCTCACTGTACCCAGGTCAGCGTTATATGTACATTCAGCCTTTGATTTCTCAATCCAGCAGCCACCGGCCTGTGCTCTCCCTGGCCACTGTCTGTGCAGTGTGCTTGTGGCTCGGGCCTGGATGCAGCGATGTCAACCCGTGCAGTTTTGGGTCTGTGTCACAAGCAGTCGTTTGGGGGGGTCCCCACAAAGGGACACGCCCAACATGTAATGTCAACCCCGGATTAATAAATTCCTGGTTGATTAAGGGGGGTGTCCCCTTTTAGTGGGGATTCATCACTTTTGGAAGGAACACCCCCTAATAATGGGACGGGTTTATAATCTTGGGTCAACATTAATTCGGCCTTTGTTTGGCCTGCCCTCATTTTCCCAAGAAAAAAACCCGGTACACGCATTCCATGAAAAGATCCCGTGGCACAGGGGGACCTTGTCTGACAAAGCCCGGACCAACTACATGGTGCGGAAACGGGTTGGTGAGCGGGGGGTCCGCGACCCAATTCGATTTTCTAGTCTTCCCAGAAAAGGGGAAATTGAACCATAGATGGAATGAATTCCAGGGGTCACGCTACCTTCCTCTAGTCTCTTGCTGAGGTATGCCGGCCCCTCACGAAACCAGACGTGCTTTCGTCATGGGAAGTCAAAGGAGGAATTTAGGCTTGGTCCAAGCATTCGCCCATTGTGACAGACCATTGCAAACAATGGCTTCCAAAAAAAGAAAGAAAAACACGCAGTTGTGTGCCCCAGAAACGAACAAGAGGCCGGCTTCCGGTTGGTTTCCTCATTAAACACCATCCCCCCAACAAATTATGGCACCGAGAGCCTTTTAAAAGACAAAAAACAACAGCTTTCTAAGTCGCTTTCCTCTAGAACAACCCCCCCAATCAAAAAAAACACGGCAGCAGGAGCGCATCACACAAAAAACACATCCACCGCCCACCAGCAGCTCGTTGTCCAGGCTGCCGGGCGGAAGGGCTGCGTAGCCAGCGCCTCCGTGCGGTACGTGCTCACCTGGCGCGCGCGCGGACGGCCGGAAGCAAAGGCAGGGCCGGTGACTCTCTTGGAGCTGGTTGTTGGGGATTCTTGTTTTTGGAGATGGGCCTCAACAAAAGTGTTGGGGATTGACAAATACATGATTGCATGTTCGAAAAGTTAGTTGCAATGCCAAGTCCAGTGGTAGAACCAACTCTGAAATCCCCCCAAAAAGGTGGTAGAACCAACTCTGAAGGGTGAGACCTGGGGTAGACCTGAGCTTGCTGGGATATATCCTCAGAAGATAACACTTGACTACAGTCCGAGGAAATTTGGCGGTGCAAAGGGAAACCAGCGAGATCCCCAAGTAATTTGAGAAAACCTCGCACTTGCTGTGGATGGACAACCATCTGCACCAGTTGGAATGAATGACAGTTTATCAGTATTGCGGGCGCCACCTAGCAACTGATGTGAAGTGAATTTGGGCCATACTCACTTCCTGAATTCATCGACTGGCCAACAACGCCACCAAGAAGGTCTTCCCGAAAAGTAGAAGTCCAGACTCAGGGAGAGAGAAGAAGTTCTATCATCATTTCAGCGCAAAGCACAAACGCCAAATATCGCATGGTGGCCCGGTTTCGTGAGCATCGCGGAGATGCTACCCACAGTAGGGTCAGGAAGTCTGTGAACTTGGGCCAAAATAGAGGGACCCAAAAAACCGATGTCTTTTGGCTTAACTTCAAAGCAAGGTACAACGGGTACCACCAACTTGGTGTTTAAACAAAAACACGAATTTGAGCCATAAACAACGCCCGGTTCTCAAATGGTCTACCCGAACCGTAAAGAATCCAAAGGGCGGATATCCGCAGCGACTGTGCATGGACAAAATCCTGCATCAGCTACGATTCCCACGAATTATGTTCGAGTCCCCAACATAAAATACAAAGAAACGTTCTGGTTTCAACCGGTTTCAACCATATTGGTTTCATTCACAGTGCTGCGGTCTCGGATTTCGACACCACCCCACCGGGTATTTCCGGCTGGCTGCGGGGTCTCAAAACCGCAAGCGAGCCAAGGCCGCCAGGCCGGTACGGGCCACCACCTGCTTGGTGGTTTCCCTCAGGGCGGCGAATCGAAAATCGGGGGCTCCGATGTGAAGGCGAGCGAGCTGCGAGCAGGTGACCGGCGTGGGATTTGTTTGGCCCCAGGGCAAATCACAGGGAGCTCAAGGCAAACCGAAGACAAGCTCTGGCTTGTAAAAGTGAGGCCAGCGCGCTACTCCATGCCAGTCTAGCCCCTCCCCGGTCTCTTCAGGGATCCTTATCTTCAAAAACAGGTTGCCAGCCCCTGAAACATAGAAGGATTCTCTATGGAGGCCGATGGGGTGAAGAGAACCCTTAGAACCATCACCTGGGGAAAGACAACGACCAATTTCAGCTTCCCTCGAATTGATGGTTTGGATTTTTACGATCTGGTGGTTGGGGGAAGGCTTCCCATCTACCCACAAGCATGAGGGGCTCAACTCCGAAGCCAAACCACCAATTCCCCCCAAAGCCCCCCCCCCCGCCGGAGCCCCCTTCGACCTGTAGACCTTAATCCCCCCGCCCCTACAGCCTTAGGGTCTTGACTTTGAGCCTGAGCAGAAAACTCGCTCAACCAGGGCCACAAGCTCTCTCTCGCATTGGGCCCCACTCCAAAGAGAATTCGAGCCAGGGCTTGACCAAATCGACTTTTGATCCAGTCCAAAGACTGGCTGGCAACCAGCTGGGTTGAAGTCGACCCTCTCAAAAACCCGTGAATCGAATCCTGGACAGAACCCCCAAACAAACTCAGCGGCGCGGCAATGAGATGAGATGCGCGGAAGGGGATGTTTGTTTGTGTTCTCCGTGTGTGGTTCCTTAAGGTTTTCTGAGCCCATGATCATCCTCAAAAATGCTCCAAGAGATGGCATAGTGGGACTGGAAGAATTGAATTGACCCATCCGCTTTTGGTGATTTGGGCAATTCAGAAACTCCCCCCGGCTCGAAAAGCTCGTTTCGTGCAGCACGTTGGTTATTCATTGTGTCCTCCTTGTGAAAAACACGATTGGCAACACCGATTAAAAAGTCGAACTGGTGAGGATATACCCCATGTCATCCCCTTTACTAGTTGACCAGCATTGACATTGGGTATGGCCTCAACTCACTGACCTTGAATGCTTTTTGACCAATGATATGCCTTTCTGGTGACCTCACATCTCGGTTGCTTTCTGCTCCCCTGCTAGAAGTTTGACTTTTAGTGGTTTAATGGAGAACCCATTAGTTGACAAAAAGTTGTTCAGTCCTAACATCCCTTGGCAAAATGCACCAAAGAAATACTGACCGTGCCTTGAACTCGCACCGAACTTGTGACCGACCTGGGCCCAACCTGAGGCCAGCGCCCTTCTTCGAAGGTCTCCTCACCTCGAGATCTCATGCCGCGCCCTGAATAGAAACTCCTACAGTGTCTGCAGTTATAGTAACCAGCACCAGCACCATCACTGTCACCGTCATTATCATCAACATCGTCAACATCGTCAACATCATCATCATCATCATCAGCATCATCATCGTCATCATCACTGTTATTGCTGTCCCTAGTCTTATGTAGGTGGGCAACACATTCTTCCAGCGAGGAAGTGTTCAAAGGACGACCGGGGAGGGGGGGGGGGGGCAAGGACAAAACAACAGCCACAAACAAGAACTCTGTAAGTTCCACCAAGAGAAAGGATGACCTTGAATTTGGGACTTAGTGTTGCTCCGAAGTTCCTGACACGCTTGGGTAGATTGTGGAACCTGAAAAGGCACACAGAGGAAACCGCTCCCCAAATTTCGCTCGTGAGGAAACCGGTCTCTCAAAAGCCAAAGGAGAACCGTGTTCCAGCTTCTCCCATGGAGCGGAGGTCAACATATGGGTTTGTCACAGGAGACATGCGACATACAACTATATATGTATATGTAAAAGTATGTCTATATAACTCACACGAATACACATATACATATATATACATATACATATATATATATATATATCCATATATATATATATTGATACCATCCACACAATTGGAATAAGATCCCTTGTTTCAACGGACCTTGCGGTCCCTCAAAGACCCTCTCCCAATCAGGCCTTGGGCCTGATATGAACCCCTACTTCTGGGTCAGCTGAATGTTTAAAGCAAACAAACCCCTGGGGTGTTTCTCAAGATTGGGGAACCCTCCAGGTGGTTTCCTTTCCTTTGGGTTTCCTTTCAAAACCATCCGAAAAGGGTCCTCCATTTTGAGACACACCTCTATGAATCCCTGGCTTCTTTCTGAATTCATCCTTCATTCTGGTTCATTCATGGAAGACCAGCACCGAAAATCCGAAACGGCGGGTGTGTCTCAAAATTGGGGACTCTTCTTATAATCGTCTCCTTTTGGCCTCGAGTTCCCCGCAGCCGAGGCAGACCCAGAATGGCTGTCTTAGTTGGCTGTGGCTCAAAATTCCAGTCATAGATCCTCTTGAACAACCAACCCATTAAAAAAAGAGAGAAACGCGCCGCTGCCGTTTCTGGGTCGCCTCTCAATTCCACGGCCTTTTGGTGCCCGGACGCACGTAGCCAGCAGGCAGAGCCTCAACCTGGCGCCAGATCGATGCCGGGCCGGGGCTTGGTCTATACCCGAGTTGCTTTTGGGGTCACCGAAAAGTACCCACGACTCCCATTTATGTATTTTTTAGGATAGCAGTCGACCCTCTACTCAAAAAGGAGGTATTACCTTGAAAATCCAGGTTTCCCACAAAATACCCTAGAACAAGTTGGTATTTGGAGTAGGGGGTAAGCACACTTCTTGGGAAAGCCACTAAGATGGTCCAGACCCGGAAAGTGACGACAGTCCGCGACGGAACTCGGGAAGTGAGGGGGGGCAAGCCCTTGATTGGTTAACTTCTATGCAGGGGACTTTGAATCACTGGGTAGTTTACTTCTAGAGGCAAATAAGGGAACCAGCCTGTCAAAATCAAAAGGACAAAGGATGGTTGCTCCCCTGAAAAGTTTAACTTTTAGTGGTTTAATGGAAAACCCATGAGTTGGCAAAGAGTTAACGTCCTAACATCCAGGCAAAATGCACCAAAGAATGGACGGTTACTGAGTATAGAAGTCACTGGGATTATTGGGGTACTGGGTTAGGATCTAAATCTACCAACAAACCACTTACCCTCCTGCCAATAACATGGAACCTGACAGGGGGGTCCTGGAAGACAATATTGCTTTGGAAGGGACCCGTTGTCGGGTTCCATGCCAGTTGGTGGAAGGGCAAGTTTACACACAAGAGCACAGCGGCTGCGCAAAATCTGATCCTTGCTCGCGAGCAGTCCGTGGCAGTCGCACCCCGGCGAGCAGTCCATGGTCAAAATTTCGGGGTTGGCCAAATCCAAATGCTCGATCCCTAAATGAAACGCATGTGTGAGCGTGTATGCGTGTGTGTGGATGGAGGATCGCCAAAGGGGAACCAAAAGGAAAACCAATATCCCTATTTTGACAAACACCAAAGACTTTTACGCATTTCCCTTTTGGGGGCATCTAACTCTCAGAGATTCCACCAATGGAACCCGGGTTTCCACCTTTTTGACTACAGGGTAGGCTTCGACCCAGTGGCTAATTTCCCCAGGGAGAAATCCTGGGTGTAAGTCTCTTGGGGTAGTCAAAAAGTGGAACCCTGAAAGAACCACCCTCTAACAACTCAAAACATGTTTGTTGGTAACCTACTGTATTCTCCCCATAGTCCCTCTTAAACATCACCCCATCAAAAGAATAGCAACTACGAATTCGGCCCAACACCTGATGTTTAAAAGGGACTTGAACAGGGGCCAATGTGGGTCTCTCAGCCCCGAGAAATTGCTAGCTTCCTTTTGGTGTCCCTTTAAAACCAACCAAAAAGGGGGACCCCTCAAAAAGAAGAAAACCGCCCTTCATCCGGAAAATTGGATCTGCACACAAACGGCCAAGGGGACTCAAAAAAGAAACACACACACAGGCACACACACACACACACCTGCGCTTGCACCCCCGCGCACACGTTTCCGCGCGCGCGTTTCCGCGCGCAAAAACGCTGGAAATCCCGCGCCTCGGCTTCGGCCTCTTCGGCGCCCATCATCCAGGACATAAAGCCCCGCGCCGTGGACTGACGACCGACGTCTCGTCTCTTGGATCCGAAACCTGACGAAGCCTTCTGATCCAGTGGATGGCCCCCCAAAAAAATAACAAGGGATTCGCACCTTTTTTTTGGGGAGTGGCACCAAAATTGGAAAATGTGTGTTTGTGCGTGTGCTTGAAGCGACCACTTATGTGACTGTGATAGTGGCAAGCTCACTTCCTGCGTGGATCGGCCGCAGAAAGTAACTTGCTGTTTGCCAATAAAATGGTCTTTCCAACAAGTGACTACAGTCTGAAACGGAACACAGAAAGTGAGTGGAAACCAAAAACCACCGGTTCGAACATCTTGGAACTGGAAAACCCACAAACTGGTTGAACACACTAAAACCGCTTGCCCAGTGACCCCGTTTTCCTGTGTATCTGCTTGGGAGCAGAGGTTTTTGACATGATCCACCACTCAATGAAAAATGGCTCATTGGGTGTAACATGTCAAGAATCCCGTCTAAGCTCAACATAAGGCTGGGAGAGCCAGATGGACATGTTTAACTAGGTCCTCGAGTAGAGAGCTTAGAATAAGGGTACCAACTTTTTTCTGTAGTCGATTTTAGTAGGGGAACCCTCCCCCCCAAAAAGAAACGGTAAAAGGGCACCAGCACCACTGGGGGACCTAGTTAAACAATCTGGGCAAATTACTACGAATCGCAAATCGGACCTAAGAATGCATAGAAAGGAAGAGTGAGAAATCGCTGGAGTTTTGCGGATGGAATTTGGGTTGAAACGCACAAGGGTCACAAGGGCGATCGCTGATCTTTGTGCCCAGCTCGAGCTTTGGTGGCCACTTCGAGATTTTTACGGAAGCAGCGCGGGAAATGGAATCCACTTCTGTGATATTTAAAACCAAACAAAAAAGTAACCCCCCCGCATCAAGAGGGAGATTCCAACTTGTACCACAGAAGTGGGGAGAAACCCAGCGATCCCACTACCCACCAGTTTGAACAAGCCTCAAACTTATTTCCGTGGAACATCGCAACAGGATATGGGGTCTTTGTCGTTGGTTGCCGTTGGTCTTGCAATGTTCAGGGCATCCACCGGCTTGCAAGGCCCGCAACAACGTTGAGCTTCCCTGGGTCAACGTCCAGAAGAAGAGCCGTGCGGTGATGTTCTGGATCCAGCTAAGCCTTTGTCCCGGTCGTGTCGGGCCGACCTAAGGAAACATATATGTTGAAAGGAGTCGATGGGGGGTTGGGCCACTTAAGTCATGACGAGGTTGGTCATCGCTCATTGCCAGCTCCTAGAGCTGTGGGGCCAAAGGTTTTGCCAGATGGGGCGGTTCCCCCGGCGGCTTGGAGAAAAACCGGACCGCTCAAAAGAATCCAAGTTACCCCTGGAACAGGATGCCGGCGGAACCACTCATTGCTTGCTGCCCCAACACGCTACACAGCCTTGCTGTTGCACGTGCAAGACCTTCCAATCAGGACTTACTCGGGGGGGCACGCCGAGAAGACTACTTTACAGGCCATAAGTACAATCCAGCTGTTTTGACAACCCGCGTGGATTAGAGGCTTTTCTGCAAAATGGCCACACGGTTGTGGGAAGTCCTGCAAAGCTATAGACAAACACATCCACACCCAAACTCCTTCTTTGGAAACGCTTCCCTTTCCATGCTCCTTGTTTGGGAATCCAGCCAGATCCATTCACGTTTTTGGAGAAAACATTCTGTGACAACTCGTGTTTTGGGAATACGCTTGTTAAGCAGCTGACAAGCTCACGTTAATAAGCCGACGCAATAGTGGAGCACCCACCCATGCCATCGAAACCGAATCCGCAGAAGTCCCAATCAAAGAAGGTCGTCTGAGTTGCCAAGACACAAATCGGCTTGCCCGAACTGCTTTCTTCGGGCGGTAGAAGGAAACTGAAGGGGGAACTCTAACATGTGTGTGTGTGTGTGATTTGTTTCTGCTCTGAACCACAGCCAGGTCTATTTGGGTCTGTCTTTTACATGAGTTTACCCTTTTTGGGTGGTTTTAAAGGGACACCAAGAGAAAAGCCACCCATTTTGGAGGGGTCCGATTCCCAACAAAAGACACACGTCTTTATATCAAACCGGGAACACACAAATCGCACGAGTTTTTCAAATCTGCCAGGCCTTCTGCTTGGTCTTGCCTCGATTGGCTTTCGAGAGCCACACACAAAAAAACGCGTCGAGGGGGGGGTGATGAATAACTTGCTGGACTCTCAAAACTCCAACTCAAAACGTGGGTTCTTGCCCCAAAGTCAGTACCCTTCCTCCCACTAACATGGCCCCTGAGGGAGGGTACCTGGAAGATCAGCTTCTTCTTGGAGGGACCCCCTGTCAGGTGCCATGTTAGGAGAGAGGGTAACTGTGCAACCCCAAATCATGGTGAAGTCCACTCGATGTTTACGTCTAGTTCTTTCGGGTCCAGGTTTCTGGTGTTTGACTAGGAATGACCGACTCCCAGTCAGGGTCTTGGTTGAATGAACCGGTTTTGGGAATTCGCAAATAAAGGACACAAATGAAATCGGACGGAAGGTTATTCAAAAGGGGTCATTCCAATGGTCCAATTCTAATCCCCTGCCTATGGAACCAGCAAGAGACACAGATTGGGGATTCCCGGTCCCTCAGCAGACCTTAACAAATCCGATCTGACTCTTGTCCATTCAGGCCGACCTACACAAATGGACATGCGCGTACCACACCAAGACGGCCTCATGTAGGGATGGTGCTTGGGGTATGCGCCCTGGCATAACCCATGTGTAACCACTAATTTTGAGGCATGTCCATTTGGGATATGCAAGTTGGCCAAGAGAAATCTTAGACCCTAGAGACCTCCAGAAATGTCAGAAAACAACGCTCTTTTAGTGTGGGGGGGCACAAACCCCCAAAAAAATCGACCCCCTCGCCCGGTTGTAAAGGGAGGCGCGTTGCCGTCGCGCCAAAGATCATGGAACTTGTCCATTGGGACCGGGTTCCCAAACACAGCAACCGCTGTTCCACACCTCCAAAAGGTTGTCTATTCTTGCCTTTTTCATGCGCCCACCCAATGATCTCGCAAATGAACGGCGACGAGGACCATTGTGTCGCGCCGGTGAACCGCGCGAGCCTAAGCGCGGCGAGAGATTGCACCTAGCGGTCATTCGCGGTGGCTTAGCGCGTCATGGACGAGAATCTTGAGCCCGAACCTGGGGGGGCCGTCTATCTTCGTCGACCTCGGCCCGTTGCTCCGCGAAGTAGCTCGGGTCGTCTCTGCGCACGCATTGCGCTGCTAATCCCGCGACGCCGATGAGCGTCTTCGCGGTCACTCGGAAAGGAACAAAAAGGCTCCGATGACAAATTTCGATTCTCCACCCCCTAATTGATAAACTCCCCAGTTATTTGTTAGTGGGGTCCCCTGAAAGAGGGGATTCCTTACCAAAGAAGGGACTGCCTTTATACGTGGGGGGGTTTAATTATTCATCAGGGGTCAGCATTCACTTTGCTGTTTTTTTCATCTAATGGCTCAAAGCACCCCTGTTTTTCGGGAAAACAACTTGCTGGGTCGCAGCAGGGAATGAGGGATTGACCATAGCTATAAACCATCCCCTATGGCTTCCTTTCAGGGAGTCTCCGGGTTCATTCCCATATGTTGGGTCATTTTGTACTGAGCACAGCAAGCAAACAATGCGCCCAGGTTTTTGAAATAATTCTCCTCTGGCTCACTAGTGTCCTGGCCTGCAATGTGCCAAGCGATTTCTCTCCTCAATTGCCCGCGCTCGCAACTGCCCTTCACGGGCTACTCGCAGTTGATGGGCAAACCAGTGAGGAGTCCCCTGGTTCCTCAGCACTTTCCCCCCGGAAGCAAGCCATCGGCCCATTCCATCTGGATGGTCAGTCGAATCGGACACTCGCACGGCAGTCTTTGGGCTCAATAGCCCTGGGCTTTGTGCCTCGGACTGTCCCATCTGTTTTGAGACATACCTGTTGCTCGCGGCTTGATATCAGCCACCTTTCGGGGTAGGGGAATCACCAGTTTGCGGGCTCCCTATCTCTCACACGCGCCTATGAAAATGGCTTCTAGTTTGTCTAACAAGTTATCATTTGACCCGAACAAACGTTCAAACCAAAAAGAAAAACGAAAACATTCTCTTTGTTTATGATCTGAGCCAAGTAAGATGTTATCAAACGACATCTAACGTTGACCTGGTTAAGGCTCCCTAAAACCCACAACTCGGACACAAATCGGACGCTCGTCTTGGGCTTCAACGATGGTGATGGCCCGTGTCTTCGTGCTCAGCCTGACAAAGGTGGAGCGACCCACAACTTTGTCTGATTGTCCCAAAGAGCCGGCTCAGTACCTCCTTAGACGGTACCAAGGGACTTTCTGGGATTATGTTTCATAGTCCTCCAATTGCTTAAGTCCCCGGAAAAACACAATATGCCCAGAAGTGATAGATTCCCCTATGAAACCAGCAGGGACAACATATTTTAAAGCAAATGGAAGTAGCTACTCCACCCTAAACTATAGCAGCTTTTTGGGAGGCGGCCCAAATGTTTGTGTGCCTGGGGTTGAGAGCACGGCTTCGCCAGCGCAATTTAATTCAATGGAAACTTCAAGACCACAAAGAAACAATTTCAGTCGCGAACACTGGACTCAAAAAACACCCACGCAGCCGGATTTATAAAAATACAAAGTACATACATATATAAATGGGTTCAAGGTTTGAGTGTGGGGTATGATTTTGCGGGTATGATTC